GACCATGTCAGGAGGCTCTGGGAATTGCTTCTGGGATGTATGTGGTAGGATTAAGATGTATGACTGATTACTCAGGGTATTGGCTAGGACCTGTAGCCCTGGATTTGTACAGTAATCAGCAACATGACTTCTAATTCCTTAGCAAGCCTCTAAGGCACCATTCTCTTTGACTAAAAATCTGTCAATTTATAGAAGGAACCTTGTAAATAATGATCATCGACCAAATTAACTGTGATTAGTCTGATTAGTCTCTCCCAAAGTCTGGAAACCTTTTTTTTTTCTTCCTTCAAAAGTACTCGGACACCTCTGTTTCTAAGGCCGTAAGCCAAAAATTCACACAATCTGACCTTGTGGAACAGAGAAAACCCTTAAAATCATCCTTCCTGATTGCCTCCATTGAGGTAAGAGCCCAGAGTAGATAATGATCATGACCCCAAAGCTTTCTATGGTGGAATGAGGGTTGGGGTTTAAGTCTCCAATCAACTTATCCTGTTTCTATCTATCATTTTTCCACCCGAGGCTTGAGGAGTACACAAAGATTCAAAATATTTCCATGTGTGGACTCTCTCCTAGGCTCAGTGCTTAGGCAATTCAGGGAACAAATTCAGTGTGGTATTGCCTCAGGAAACATACATTATGGGGAGATTTCCAGTTGTGCCCTCAGAATATATTATTCGTCTATCCCCCCAAGAATGTTTCATATCATCCTTACTATCTTAGAAAATATTAAAATTGATTCTTGTTGCAGTTTTCAAGTCTTTCACCAGCTAAATCAGCATACCTCCCTCTTCAGTCCTGAAAAAAGAAATGGTCCAAGTGAGAAGCTTATCATTTTATTAATACAAATTTATTGTATCAATATCAAATGAATTTATTGGATTATTTTTTATCTAGAGTCTAAGAAGGAATCAAGGATTCATTAAGTTTCCTAGAGGTAAACTCAGTGATGCCTAGAACAGAGTAAAATACTCTGAGGTTTTTTTGTTTTCTTAAACTATAAGACAGAATGTCGGTTTGGGCATCTAAACATCAGAGCATAGCAGCTCTCTCTGTAGGGAAAGCTTACATTTCAGACTTAGAACTCCATAGCATAAAGTGATTAGCAAATAATAATAATAATAAAATGTAAAATCCCTGAAATAAATGAGATCATAAATGCAAAGAAGGATTTCTTTAGGATTGGTTGATGGGAATCTGATTGCTCCTTTTCAAATTTAGATTGGCAGGGGTAAAGCTGAGTTCCTAGGGTGACTGCCAACCCTTTACTCTGGCTCTACCAGCTGGGCCTCTCTCGCCTGGTTTTTGTTGTTGAGCATGTCACAGTGTTCAGGCCGGCAAGTCATCTTTGGATCTGGGACCCAGTTGACTGTTGTACCTGGTAGGCTACCACAATCAAATACTGTTTGTGCTACCTTACTAAATACTATTAAGCTACAAATGTATACTATACCTCTCTGTAATTTTATGGACCTGGGACTGGGATTGGGGGTGAAGATTCCTTGCATGCTTGTCAGGCCTAAGATGAGAATTATTTATCATATTAGAACAAAGAACAAAAAGAGAGAAGCCTTTTTGTTAGGTTTGGAGTAGTAGTTAATGAAAATGAGCAGAGAAGAAGCTCACCTAACCTAGAAGTGTTGGATAACAGGAACAGATTTCATCAGGGGAAATGATGTTTCTCCCTCAAAGCAGACAAGGTGCTGCAAGATGATTTTACTACCTTAACTCAAGTGTTGTTAGCCAGCTACATTTCTAGCCTATTCTGGCTTATTTCTACCTAAATTGCTAAACACAAAGGTACCTATTTAAATGGAGTTCTATTTCTACAGTTCTCTGGTGCCCTTCCAGCAAAGCATTCCTGTAACACACTGCTTATCATTTCTACAAGAAAGAACAAGTAAGCCCCATGCCCTCCAAAGCTGCATAAGTATTATAATTACTTGGCTTAGACTGAAGTCACCTCTATTTTATTTCTCATAACTGTGTTCATTTGTTGAAATTTGTTTAAATCCAAGCTGTGTGGGCGTCTAACTGTTGGCACTGAAATTTCCTTTCTCTTGAAACTGTCAGCAAAATATTTTGCCCATAAATAATGTTTCATCTAGACTTGCAAATGACAGTCAACACCATAGCCTCTTTTATCCCCCCTTGCAAAAGGGAATGTGCAAGCAGAAAGCAAAAAATGCCAAAATGTACAGTTTCATTGTGAGGGGCCTTAGAGGTAGTATTAGCATACATTTGACTATAATGTAGATACCTTGACAGATAGGATATAATGATCTTATTAGATCACACATAAAAGTACAGTTAGCTTAGTTGATGTGGCTCAGAATGTCATTAAGAGACGCATAGGTCAAGTTGTCAAGTTCAGTACAGACCCAGGTATAGACTCGGGGAAAGAAGTTTCCAGATAGTCCTGGAACTAAAGGCAGAGTAAGGATTTTCTTTATAATCAAATCCACCTGAGAATTTTCATTTATAATTAGGAAAAGAAAAAGGTAAATACCTTGCAGGATATTTCAGATAGTGTGTGTGTGTGTGTGTATGTGTATAACACAAAAGATACAAGAATGAACCCAAGCAGAAAACTGAAGAAAAGAAATCGATAAACCACTGAAGAAAATCAGTTGCCCTTATCTTGCCTGTCTCTGATAATGGATGTGTTCTCTAGGCTCATTTCTCACTTTGGTTCTCAAATTTTCCAGGGAAATAGCAAAGAACAACTAACTTGGTTAGTTGTCTCTGGGTAACACAGATCCCTTTTAGGAAGTCCCAGAATACTTTTTGCAATGACTGTAAACATTGTGTACACCAATACCAACAGACTATATTTCGGATCTGGGACTAAACTCAGTGTAAAACCAAGTAAGTTATAGCTGTCTACAGAAAGTCCTCAGCATACCATTCTAAATCCCTCTTAAAAGCTGTAGTTTTGAACTCTTAATTTTGTGTTTTGAGTTCCTACCCAACCTATTTTATTATTGCTTGTTCAATATGCTCTTTAACTGATATAAAAGGTAGCAAACAAATCCCATTATTCAGTAAACGTTCTAAAACTCCATACTTCTGGCATGGTATCTTATTAAAAGGAAAACGCCCAAATTTAATTGCCGCTACTTTTACTAGCTGACAAGAGAGGGTTTGGATATAATTTAAAGTACTTATAAATGTCCAGATTTCAGACAGGAGATATGACAAGTTAAAATTATATGTATTTCTTAAAAGATGAAAGAGATTAATCTTGATAATAACTATCATTTATTGAACTCTCACAGTGTATTAAGTACAGTGTAAATGTCTCTCATGCTTTAATTCATTTAACCTTCTAAACGATCCTCTAGACAGATGTTATCACCCCCACTCTCTCAGATGAGAAAAACTGTAAAAATCAAAAACAATTTGAATGGGGTTAAAATAGTCACCCGGCAAGGGCTGCAGCAGTCGTTAGCACCAAGGCCTGCCTATCCCCACAGTGCTCTCTCCTGACCTTATTCTCCATGACGTTTGTGTAGGAAGATCTAGCACTGTGGCTCTAATGGCTACAAGCTCACTTTTGGAGCAGGAACCAAAGTAACCATAAGAGCAAGTAAGTAAGAAGGAAAATGACAGAATAGCTTTAAAACAAAAATGGTGGGTATGGTCATGAGTAATTTCATGTGGAAGGGTAATACCACTTTGCCCACAACCTTTTTGCTTCTTGGTCTCCCTCACCCCTTCTTAGAACACTCTCCGGCTCCGGAGCATTATTGGAGAAAAACAAAACTAAACCACTGAAATTATATTTCAAGTTTATTTAAAACTTGAGAGAAGATCCACTAGGCTAAGTGACAGGGAGAAGTGAGTCTTTTCCAACATTTGAAGAGCTGTCGCATAGATGAGGAACGAGTTGCTACAAAAGACCAACTCCAAACCAGTGGGTGAAAAGAGATGATTCTTAGCCTCCTACAGAGTCAAAAAAGCAAAATTCCTTGCAGGGTAAGACCCCCCCCCTTCAAGAGGTACTGTCTTGGGGTGCTGGAGAGATAGCACAGCAGGGAGGGCGTTTGCCTTGCACGCGGCTGACCCAGGTTTGATTCCCAGCATCCCATATGGTCCCCTGAGCACCGCCAGGAGTAATTCCTGAGTGCAGAGCCAGGAGAAACCCCTGCGCATCACCGGGTGTGACCCAGAAAGCCAAAAAAAAAAAAAAGAGATACTGTCTTTTCTTCCCTGGAACTCTTCACACCGAGCCCTTAAGGAGAGCCATGGGGTGCTATAGAAGGGATTTCTGTGCCTCCTTATTAGATACTGAGCTAAAGCATCTCTGAGCTCCCTTTTAACTCCAAATGTTAAAATTCTATGACCCAAACCTAGATGATGAAAAGGTAAGCTGAGACCTGTTCCTTCTATTTTTATTGTTTTGATAGCCCCCCCCAAAAAAGGCCATCAAATTATTCATGACTTCAAGCCTATTTGGGACTTTGGTGTCTAGAATATGGTGAGGTATGATTTCCCTGTGCAGTAAAAGGGAAAGGAAGGGGTCATTGTGGAGGGAAAAAGAGAAAGATGCCTGGACTGGAACCAAAGGTGGAATGTGGGAAATATTCGGGTGCCTTTGCAGAGGACACATGGAGTCTATCAGAGTTTTCACAAGTTCAGCTATAGACAGAGATCCAAACACAATATCTACCAAGCTGCCTTTTATACCAGGAAATAGGGCTAAGGAAGCAAAATTCCTTCCAATTTAAACACTCTCAAAAGGACAGGTAATTGCTTTCTGGAGGGAGGGGTGCCTGGGGGTAGGAAAACTATTGTTGCTACAGACCATTTGTCCCCAGAGTGATAACCTCTGAGGAGGGACTGTTCAGCTCTGCCTGTCAGCGGCACAAAAAAAAAAAAAAAAAAAAGTTTAGAGCCACTTAAAGAGGAAGGAGGTGACTTTTCAAGCCCATTCTAGAGAGCAGAGGGGGAGAGTGGATGGAGATCACTAGGACCAGGTTCATGTAAAGGTGGCTAGCACTGTGTTGATAGAGGCTCGAGCTTGGGGAAGCTGTACTTTGGAAGAGGAACTCAGCTAATGGTACAGCCAGGTGAGTGATCATAAAAGAAATCAAAAAGAGAGATGGATATGATCCTATGGTCTTGAAACTTAGAAAACTTGTACATTGCCCTTCCTAGGAGATCTCTTTCCCACGTGGACTGGAATGGAAAGTAGATGAACGTGGGGGTCCCTTCTAGGAACCTGAGAATCCCAAGGGGTCTGTGCAATAGGGAAAGATAGTCCTAGTAAGGCATTTGAGGCAGTCCCCAAACTCCTGTCCAGTCTTAAATTCAACTCTTGGAGGAAGTATGTGACTCCTTATTCAGAATGGGCGTGCTAGCTTAGAAGTCGGACGACAAGGCTTGTTTTTCTTGAGTCTGTGATTCTGTCATTTCCATCTCAGAGGCTCCATCGAGTGCAGCATTCCTTTCTTGCCAAGAATGGCTGCCTCACCATACTCCATCAGCCTTCCCCTGGAAGCCCACCCACACACTTCCTTAGTACTAATCTCACAGACAAATGAACTCTAAAATATTCGAAGGGTTTCTGGGTCTGAAGTCTAGACCTGGAGAACTAATACTGACACAAAGTACACAGCTATTTCTGAAGGTCTGGGTGCATCCAGCAGGAAGAGTCACACACTAGGGTGTGTGTTGGTGTGTGAGTATGTCAGCATTTTCACTCTAGATGTGTAAATGTCCTAAAATGTCCAAGAACTCATAACTTTTCCTTTTACCAATCCTCCAGGGATTTAAAATTGTCAGATTTTAGGCCCCTGAATGAAGGAGAGTTGTAGTGAGCTACGATGTTCATTCACTCATAGATTTGATCCAAAAAAAAAAAAAAAACCAATCAGCCAATGCAGAGAAGTCAGAAAATATAGGCTGCTCTCCCACCCCCCCTCCCTCCCTCACTCCCTACCTCCCTCTATCTCTCTAGAAAAAAATATGTGTGGGCTGATTTATATTTTCTGGGATAGATCTAAGTATGTGCCCACTTGAAACCATTTAAGCTCTAAAAAGTGGGTGCAGGACTAGGAAACAGGATTATCCTAAATATCACAACTGCTCCACTTTATCAAAATCCTCAAAAATGTACTCTGTCGGGAAATGTTTTCTGTGTGATTTCCTTGGTCCCTGTGGTTTTTTGCTGGGCCTTAAATCACTGTGTCACCAACGTTGCTGGGAACAAGCTGACTTTTGGAGGAGGAACCAGGGTGTTAGTCAAGTCAAGTGAGTACTGGGGCTTATGCCACAATTCTGTTTCCAAATTGAAGCAGAAATTAGTTATTAAATTGAGCATGCTATGCTCATCCATATTAATCTGCCTCAAACTTGTGTTAAAAATCTATAAGGGTTGCTCTTATGCATAAGCACTGATGCCTACACAAATTCATTGTGGATAAACACCACTGCTATCTAAGGTCATCTTCTTAAGAGAAGGAAAACAATAAAAATGATCTCCTTATTTCTTTACATCTCTTACCTGATTGTCCCAAGAAGTAGGGGAAGGTAGAAAAGCATGATGCTCTCTATATTTGTAGTAGAGGAGTGATTTGGACATGCTCACAATAGCAAGGCAAAGGCCCGCATTTTCTAAGGTTTGTTATATAGCTGTCTCTACCAGACTTCAGTCCTTATAACCATCACTCTGATTTGTCTCCTCTGCCCCTTATTTTTCTAAATTAATGCATCTGAAATATTGGTTATGCTTATCTTCGGGCTCACAGAAACCATGTGCGGATTTAAAAGACATTGCTTCGAAAAAAGAGTTGAGTTGGAGGTTGTATTCCACCCTCCAGAGGGTGAAGTATTGTTTTTGCAGTTGATGATATTATCTGTTTCATTGTGGAAGGGAATAAAGAAGGTAGGGGATACTTGAAAGGCAAGGTAATATGAGCAATATTCATGCAAAATAAATCATTGAGGCGTTCTGCTAGGAACCAAAAGACAATGTGGATTTGCTCATACCTCATTCATGGCCAGGGAGATACCTTAGAGAGAAAGACCTCTCTGTCCATAGCATGGAGATCATGATTCCAGCTCTGCCTAACTAAAATGACTTTGTGACTCAACCGAGATCATATATGTGACATCTCATTGAAAACTGTGGGTGATCAGATGACTCATGATTTTTCTGAAAATTGGGATTTATGAAAAATTCCACTGGAGTCATTATTAATCGTGAGAAATCTTCATGGACCTTGTCTATAAAAGAGAATTAATTTAATTTGGATGTACAGTGAGCCATTTTAATCTTGAAGAAATTGGTCATAAGAATTGATGAACATCATCACTGACCCTGGAGATCATCAGAAGCCTGAGATCTCTCAGGAGAGAAATGCATGAAGTTGGTGGCTTATCATAAATGGTTTCTAAGGTTCCCTACCTTTCCAAAGATTATGTGAATTTAAGACTCTGTTGAGCTTACCCAAATAAGTGCCTTGTGTTGAACTGGGTTGCAAATGTAAGAGCTCTGGGAGAATTCCTGTGCTTGAAAATGATGGGAGCCAGAGCAGTAGAAGTGCAGGTAGGGCACTTGCCTTGCATGAGGCTCACCTGGGTTCAATCTCCTAAATCTTATATGGTCCCCAAGCTTACCAAGAGTGATCCCTGTGCACAAAGCCAGAAGTAAGACGTGAACACTGCTGGGTTTAATCAAACAGGAAAAAAAAAAAAAGAAAAAAAGTGAGTGGCATTTGGTTTTTGTGGTGAAGTCAATCACTGTGGGGCTCAAACGTCCAGAGATTGGTGTTTGGGAGAGGAACCATGTTAAAGGTGAACCCTAGTAAGTATTGCCATGAATTCTGAATTTTATTAGTGACTGAGACAGGTAACATGTTTTGGAAATCTGAGTGGACTGCTAGATGCCCTCAATTTATTCAAATTTAATGGGGAGCAGAACACTCCCCACCCCAACCCCTCCCTCCCTGACCTAGCTGTAAGTGCTCATTCTGCTCTTTCATGGTTTGCATTGTTTAAAATTTATTACTGAAGTCAATGTAATAAGGCTGTTCACACATCCCCATGCCAGCTCTATCAGAAATACCCACTCTGGAATGTCAATATCTTTGCTGCCAGTTGGCATCATCTTACAGTCTTGATGCCCTAAACACCAAGAACCACTGGTTCCAGTTACTCAGATAATATCCAAAAGTTTCTTTAGAAGAATAACTTTTCTAACAAGGAGTTTAGGTTGTAAAACTAAATATAGTTGTCAACAGAGAGAAGGCGTGATCTAAGTTTCCATGTTTATCACAGAGGGTGTGGATCTACCAGACCTTCAAATTGCTTATCTGCAACTAAGATGATTAATTCCTCTATTGCTAGACCTCATGTCATGCATCACCAATTCAAAGAGACCTGACCTGCACAGCCAATCTTACAGTCTCCAAACATAGCCACTACGGGAGTGTTCTCTATTCCGTTCCCCAGTCAGTCATGCACTTGGATCTCTTGACATCTACAAATATACATATTTGCTGATGTCGCCTCCCCCTTGGTAAGCACCAAGTGGACAGGGGTAATGTCCAAGACATTCTCTATTGTATCCCTGTGCCTTTGTGTGGAGGTATTCAGTAAATAATTACTAAGTAAGTGTAGACCCTCCCATCATCTACCTCATTAAGAAGTAACAGTGCTATTATTGATATCCAAACACTGAAATCTCACTGAGTTCTTTGCCACGGACAAAACCAGAATACAAGTTTCCATTGCTTACAGTGCTGTATACAAGGTAAAGTAAGTGCGTGGTGCATAAGGTATTTGCAGAACCTCGTTTCACTGTGCCTAACCAGGGAGGATACACATTGGTCTTTGGGAAGGGAACTACCATATCCGTACATCCTAGTAAGTGACTGTTTATTATTGATCATAATGCCTCTACTTTGCAATCTTAGATTGTATGTCTAAATGTCTAAATATCTCTGTTCCTTAGTTGGGGGTTTAATGATAAAAGCCATTAAAACAAATGAAAACATGGATTCTGTCACCACTCCTAATATTCAAACCATATCTTACCCTCTATGTTCACAAAACAGTTTTTTTTAACTATGTTAAAGAGATAAAGAACAGTTGCCTAACAGACAGGAGCCATTTGCTAAATGTTTCTGCATGAGATTGTGTACCCGGGTTGATTCTTAAGCCAAAATGGAAATCAGAGCTGATTTCCTTTGTCTAGTAAAACAAGATTACTGGGTGAAATTTTGCAAATCTCTTTGAAAAAGTGTTGTCTAGAGAGTTGTCTTGACAGTCCTTTTATCAGAGTTGTCTGGAGAATATCTCTAGGACCCTTATCAGACTTTCCCTACATCACTATTATTGGGTCCTGCAAAGAGGCTAAATTCCATGGCTTAGTCTTTATTCCAGTAATGAAAAGGGGGAATCCCAGTCAGAGCTCCCGGGAGGAGGAGAGATGCATGTTAATCACGTTAATCTATTATCAAGGTAGCTTGGGCATTGTTGTCAGGCCGCATGGCACTGTGATTTATAACACATTCATCTCTGGGAGTGGGACAAGATTATCAGTAAAACCCAGTAAGTAGGCAATATGTCACGAAAGTCGGAGGCTTAATGTGGCTACTGAGGCCCATTGAACTTACTGCAGTATTTGCAGGGCCCAAGAGTTAAGAAATTAATGGTTTATGCAGCCTTAAAAGCATTCTGATGTGGAAAGAAATGTGAAAGTAACAGCACAGAAGATAGAAAGATCTGGCCGTGGAGAGAAAGAGTCATGGAGCTGAACCAAGAATAACAGACCGACACTGCCCATTCTAGAAATGAATCCTAAGTAGAAAGGCAGAAAGTTTGGGGGCAGGGAGATGACTCAAAGAACTGCAGAGCATGCCCTGCGAGCCAGAGGCCAGGGTCCGATCCCAGCACCACAAAGACTGGAGCACATGCTTTTCATGCAGGGCACCTTGGTTCAAGCCCCCAGACCATAGAGTTCCCCCCCTCCCTGAATACTGCTTTTTTGCAACCCCAATAGAAGAGAAAACTGAATACTCCCAGTTATTCTATGTTTGGCTTAATTAGTACATTTGGGTCCTAA